AAAAAAAAAAAAAAGTAAAACAAAGAGTATTTGGATTCTTCAATATTACTTCTGTCTTGATACCCACCTTTTTTTTTATTATTATTATCTATTTCATGTATTCTTTTTTTTTTTTTCTCCCATTTGTTTCTGTCTACACATTTCCCCTAACCATCCTTCGAGTATATATATATATACCTCTCTCTCTCTATATATATGTATGTATATATCTATGTATATACGGTATTACATGTATACATGTAAAATATGTTTGCATGCAAATGTGTCATACATTTTTTACTGTGGCATGTAATAATAATATGGAGAAAAACATCAGGAAAACAAACGGTGTTCCCTTAATATAGGGAAAAATTAACAAAACGCAAAAAACAACAACAACAACAACAAGCAAGCAAATAAAGAAGCCAAAGAAAACACACTTTTATGAAAAACAAAAAAGAAAAGTACGTAATAGAAACAGTGAATGAAAATACTATTGCTGTCACTACCAATTTCCTTTTCCCATCCTTTTTTTTTCTTTTAAATAACACTCCTGCTGTTGGCTTCTCTTCAGTAGTTGTACTTCACCCAATCTCGAGGAAGGAAAAACGTAAATGAAAAAAAAAAAAAAAAGACATCATCATCCCCCCAAAATAAACAACAACAACCTTACATCGTTTGCTATGGATATAACCACCCAATATATTCATGGGAAACATACAAAGAGAAATATAATATCATATATATATATAAATATATATGTATCTATGAAATATAAATACCATTTGTATACATATATATATGATATATATATGATATATAGACGGAAATATACGCATCTTTCGCCATGTACTGAATTAGATAGTATTAGTAAGAGGAGTAAGCAAAGGAACTTGAAAGGTCGAAGCAATAAATAATAAATAATAAACAAGCAAGAACATCAAAGAAAAACAAAAACAAAACAAAACACAGACACACACACAGACGGCCTAAGACATCCCTCCTTTTATTATTATTATTATTATTATTATTATTATTATTATTATTATTATTATTATTATTATCTATTACTCTTTTATTCATACTCCAGATACTTTTTTTTCTTTTTTTTCCCCCACTCACTCTCACTCTCACTCTCTCTTTCTCTGAGTCCGCCTAGTAGTCTTATCTTTATATATTATTTTACCTAATAGTCTCCTCGCCGCACGTTTGCTACTTCTCCCAATGCAAATCGATCTTTCTTACGACGCTGCTCCTCTTTAGCCCGCTCTAATGCGTTTTGTATTTGTTCCTTCTTCTCATACACTTCTGCCTCTTCTTGTGTTTGGCCCATTCGGCGCAATAACCGCATTTGTTCCACTTTCTGTTCCTCAATGGTATTGCGAAGATCCTCACACTCACATACCTTGCGATCATACTCTTCTTTCAAGTGATCCACCTCACCTTCTAACTTCTTAATCTTCTTTTTGAGTTTTTTCGACTTCTCTTCACGCTGGGCAACATCACTGCTGTGGTCTTGTGCATATTCTTCTAATCGTTGATTGAGTGCACGTTGGAAGTTCTCATCACGTTCTTGCAGTTTCGTGCGATATGCCTTTTCCCGCTGTTCGGACTCTGCATGGACCTCACGTAATTTTTGTTGGAAGTATTCAGATTTCTCATTACTCTTCACAATAAGGGCCTTTTGTTTTTCCAGGAGACCACGCATTTGATCTAACTGTTCCGCACGTTCCTTTAATCGTGCATTTAGATCTGCCACCTTCTCTACACTACCACGGGCATCCTCCAACTGTCGTTCATAGTCACTTACCATTTCATTCATTTTTCCTTCTAACTCCACATACCGTCTTTCACTTGTTGCCACTTCTTTACGTAAAGACTTCATTTCTTCTTGTTGTGCTTCTTTCGATTGTGCCAGGGCCACACTCTTCACCCGCTCTTCCTCCAATTCACCACGAAGTGCATCCATCTCTTTTTGAATTGCCTCCGTCGCATTCCGTTCCTCCACAAGAGAAGTTTTTCGATTATTGCGCAGTACAGTTAATAAAGCCTCATGATTACTACTCGTTTCATCCGACTTGATGGCAGCCAATATTTCCTGTTCTCGCCGTTCATATTCATTGCGAATGGCATCCAATTGTACTTGCGTGGTTGTTTCTGCGACACCGCGGCGTCCCTCTTCCGTCTGATGTAGTTGCATCATTTCTTCCTTTTTCATAGCCTCTGCGTAGCGACCACGAAGTTCATCATTTTCACTCAATATCTTACGTACCTCCTCTTTAAGATCCACCGGGGTATCCGGCATCTCCGCAATTGTATTTAAGAGATGATTGCGTTGAGATTGCGCCGTCTCTACAGCCGCGTGAAGCTTTGCAAAGATATCTGCATACAGACCAGCCTCTTGAGTATCCACTTCCTCTATTTTCCGTATTAATTCCTGAGAAACCGAGGGATCACCTGTAATGGAAGTAAACGGTACAGCCTGTGCCTCTCGCATGGCGGATTTTAAATTCTGCATCATATCATGCATAACGGTTATGTGTTGCAATGTGGCATTGCGAGTTCCATCATCTTCCATGAGAATAGCACGGAGTTGCTGGACAACGAGAGAGTCATCATTTTCGCTATGACCAAGTATTTCTCTTGTACGTTCTAACTGTGTCATGTACATCTGTGTTAACTTTTCATGACTCTGCTGCATATTTTGTAATTTAATATCCACTTCTGATATTACACCTTCTTTTTGAAGTTGTTTCTGTGCATTTTCCAAGGCCATACGTAACTCTGCCACCTCTTTACCATTAGTACCGACAACTTCCCCATCAATTTGCTGATATTGTTGTTGTTGTTGCAGAACCTTATGTTGTTCACGTGCCTCATTTAACTCCTTCTTTGTTTTCCGAAGTTTTGACTCTGTTGATTTGAGTGATCCTTGCGTCTCCTGTAGTTTTTCCTCCAATTCCTTCATAACGGCTTTATGTTCTTTCCGCATTTGTTTTGCCTCCACTGTAAGTGTTTGTACGGTTGTGTAGAGTTGAGCCAATTCCGCACTATGTTTACCATGAGCACGATCCCGCAATAAGGCCTCCAATTCACTTATATTTGTAATTTGTTTGTTTCCATCCTCTTCACTATGTAAATACCGAGAACATACCTGGAATACCTCTTCCCGCTGGGATCGTTCATCCGTAACACTAGACTCTGCAATTTGTAAATCATTTTGCAACTGTGCAATTTGATCTTCCAGTTCAACTACTCTAGATGTTGTATTCTGTCGTTCCAGGAGCATTTTAGCCTTTACATTTTCAAAATCCACAGCATCCGCTTCCCGTCCTCTAACGGCATTATCAAGACTTACTTCCATTTCCCCAACTCTCTCACGTAATTGTTCCACCTCTTTTTCTAATGAATCTGTACCTTCAGTTTCATATCTTTTCAATTTCTCCCGAAGTTCATGAACGAGTTCTGTGAGTTCAACAATCTTCTGATCCTTTGTATCCATATTCACAACAGGTTTGTTCTTGATTTGCTTTGCACGATCGGCAAACCTTAACGTGCTAACCGTTTCTGAAAAATTATGTTCACTAGGTCCAATGTTTGCAAACATAACAGTCTTACTAGATCCACCAAGTGAGTCTTTAAGAAGCATTGTTAATGGGCTACTACGGAATGGAACATGTCCTTTCCCTTTTACAATGGTATCAATTACGGTTCCGAGGGCACTGAGTGAGAGATTGATGTTACATCCCTCTTTTAAGGTTTCTCCACTAGCACCGGTTTTACCTTGCCGTTCAGATCCAGCAAGATCTACAAGATTTAACTTGCTTGTAACTGAGCGTGAATCCCCATCCTCACCAATCTCTGTACATTCAATCACAAGTGTAAAGATAGAATGAGAACGTGAACTGTCAGCGTTAAGATCTGTTGAGGCCACACGTCGTCGCTCTGTGCCTTCTTCCATATGTTTGTAAATATCTTCCGGACACTTCACTTGTGGAATATGTGCACCTTGAACATAAAATGTCTTATCTTTATTTTCCTTTAATGCGAGTGGTACCTGTTGTCGTGCTAAGAGATCCTGCACTTTACCATTATACAACTCAATAAAGGAAACATACATGGAGAATTGCTTGTTTGGTGAGGCTTCTCTTATAGTGGCGATGTGGTTAAAGACATGTGTAAAGCATCTTGGTATGATCCCTTGCAATTCCTCATCATCCATTTTACCAGTCATTGTGTGGGTTTTACCGGAGCCGGATTGACCGTAGGCAAAGACAGTGGCGTTAAACCCCTCTAACACGGAATCCACAAGTGGCATAATAAACTGTGTAAAGATATCCTTTTGACTGAATGTATTATTGATAACAGCATCAAAGGTCCAGCGATCGGGTTCTCCAACAAGACTGTGTACGGCTACTGTATGTTCAGTGAGATCTACATCTACACATGACTTATATCCCTGCATACGTTCTTTTTCATTTAATGGGCGACAACGAACGAGAACTTTAATGTTCTCTGCTGCACTGGCAGTTTTTCGTCCCATGATGATTGAAACGGAGAGAGTTTAAATTCAAAATGACACGTGCAAATATACGAGTAATATAATTCAAATATATAAAGAATTATTGCTTGTGTTGTTTTGTTCCCCCTTTTTTTGCCTATTGCTCTTTCTTATTTTTTATTTCCTTCTTATTTTTTTGTTTTTTTCTGGTAAATAATTTCCTTCTCCTATACCTCAATGAACACCAAGAAAAGAGAAAAAAATCGTTAAAGAGAAGTTCACACACACATAAGAGAAAACAAACAAACAAACAAAAAAAAAAAAAAAAAAA